ACACACACACACACACACACACACACACACACACACAATAAATAAATATACGTTGTAAAAAATAAATCTGAGCTCAAAGAATAAACACCAAAACCAAAAAAAAAACAAATCCAATCAACAAAAGGCCGATGAACAATTCTCAAAAGAAGTACAAATGTCCGATGTCTTAGCCAGCAAACTGGCTCATTAGATAAAGGTTCTTGCCATGCCACCCTGCCAACCTGAATTCAATCCCCAGAACCCGCACACAGAGAACTCACTCGTCAGTGTTCTCTGACATCCACATGTTCCCTATGGCATGTAAGTGTTCACACACAAGCATCATATACACATACCATACTAAATAAATGTGAAAATTTAAATGGCAAAAAATATGAAAAAAAATATTTGACATCCATAGCCAGCAGAAGACTTCAAAACAGAGTACATTAAGATTCCATCTTTCCTCAGTTAGAACGGCTGTCATCACTAAGTCAAACAAGTGCTGATGAGGATATTGAGGAAAAAAAGAACCCTTATCTGCTGTTGGTATGGATGTAAATTAGTGTGCCATCATTGAAATCATTATTGAGCTTCCTTAGAAAATTAATATTAAAAGTACCATCTTCTCCAACAGTAGTACACTTCCAAAGAATATACCTGAAGGAACCTAAGTCAGCACACTACACAGAAACCTGCCCATTTCTGATGGGCATGGTGGCACAGGCAGATTTCTGAGTGTGAGGCCAGCCTGGCATACAGAGTGAGTTACAGGACAGCTAGAGCTGCACAGAGAAAATCTGTTTTGAAAAAAAAAACCAACAAAATAAATAAATAAATAAATAAATAAATATAAAAAGCCCAGTGTGGTAACCCACGCCTTTAATCCCTGTGCTACAGAGGCAGGGGGATCTCCATGAGTTCAAGGACAGCCTAGTCTACCTATCGAGTTCCAGGACAGCAACAGTCCAGGAAGTTCTGGTTCCAGGACTGCATAGAGAGACCTGTCTCAAAAAAAGGAAAGGAAAGGAAATGGAGAAGGAAGGAAGAAACTAAGGAAGGAAGGGAGGGAGGGAGGGAGGGAGGGAGGGAGGGAGGG